CTCCAAACTAAACGTAAAATAATTATAACTATAAGTCAAACGAATACTTAAAATGAATAAAACTATCCGTATTTGTAAAATTAATATAGTCGATAAACAAATAAAAATCCGTGATCTATACGTAAAATAATGATAACTATGAGTCAAACGAATACTTAAAATGAACAAAACCGATCCTATTTGTTTAATCGATATAGTCAATAAACAAATAAAAATCTGTAATCTATACTATCTATACTAAAATGATGATAACTATAATAAGTCAAACGTAGTATGCTGAACGATACTCTAAAAAAGATTTGAAATTGTTTATCGTAGTTTCGAGAGAGAGAGAAAATGTTATTGCGTTTCGAAAAGTGTCCTAATATTAATGTGGGTCACTATATATGTATAGTTAAAAGATTCTTGGAATTAATGAAGAAAGTTAACAAAACACGANCAGTTCAAGATTAATATTTCGAGCCACGAAATACTTGATTCTAAACTTAATGTTTAATACTCGATTAATACTTGATTCTGTAATTAGCATTTCAAAAACGCAGATGAAATCTGGCCGAGATCTATCATTATTAACGAATGTTAACAAAAGTTACTTGAATTTTCTTTACCTTATTCTCGAATCGACAGGCGCTGAATTTATCAGATGTGCCGAATGATTTATTAGTATTTATGAATGTAGATATCTATTTCTAGCGCTAGGTCCAATTGCTATGATCGTGTGAAGTGGCGATTCACAACTCAGAGAACGAACTTAAGCGAGACCAGGGTGATCGGCGTTCGCCGAAGGAACGGGCAACGATTTCGTATTATTCCAGTGATTCGTTTATTGATAAATGATGAAGGAGATTGCGGCGCTTGGCAACGCGATTATTTCCAAAGCACCCGTTACATGAATTGCGCGGGCAACGCGTCGCGATCAATTCTTCCGTGATAAATCGAACCGACAGGCGACGCGTGTGATTACCAGTTTCAAAAATTTCCATTCTCGCGAAATTCTTACATCTAACGGGATTCAGACTCTAACCAAGTACATGATTTGCCTATATATATCTAGAGAACAATAGACGTCTAAACTACAAAAGGATTAATACAATGACCTAAACTAATGATTATCGCATTAGCTCTTTCACAAAATAGTAAAAGGTCTTATACTAAAGATGTGGAAACAAATTTTTCTCTCTACATAAAAGATTGTTAAAACAAATAAAAATCTGCAATCTATACGTAAAATGATTATAAGTATGAATCGAACGAATTCTTAAAATGAATAAAACTGTTTCTATTAGTAAAATTGATGTAGCGAATAAACAAATAAAAATCTGCAATTTATACGTAAAATGATCATAACTATGAGTCAAGCGAATACTTAAAATGAATAAAANCTCCAAACTAAACGTAAAATAATTATAACTATAAGTCAAACGAATACTTAAAATGAATAAAACTATCCGTATTTGTAAAATTAATATAGTCGATAAACAAATAAAAATCCGTGATCTATACGTAAAATAATGATAACTATGAGTCAAACGAATACTTAAAATGAACAAAACCGATCCTATTTGTTTAATCGATATAGTCAATAAACAAATAAAAATCTGTAATCTATACTATCTATACTAAAATGATGATAACTATAATAAGTCAAACGTAGTATGCTGAACGATACTCTAAAAAAGATTTGAAATTGTTTATCGTAGTTTCGAGAGAGAGAGAAAATGTTATTGCGTTTCGAAAAGTGTCCTAATATTAATGTGGGTCACTATATATGTATAGTTAAAAGATTCTTGGAATTAATGAAGAAAGTTAACAAAACACGATTATAATCGCATAAACGTTGCAAAAGGTTAAAAGATTGTAGAAGTATATAGTAAAAACGATAGAGACGATTCTACACAAAATCTACGGGTGCCTAATGTTCGGTGAAACGTATACAAGAGGAAGGAGGTACAATGTTCTCCGGTGAATGGAAGTTCGCTTAATCGAGGACAATTATGCCGATTCGACGAGCGGCCCTATCTGGACCGCTAGTGTTCCTTCGTTTCGACGTGCACATCGATCTACGTCAAGCGATAAGGACCGGGTGTGTAACCCTCGTGATAAGCCGGATAAACGTATCCGTGATGCATGCCCGGCACAGGTGACATGAAATTATACGCGTCTTCGGTGTTGTATGTGTGTGTGTAAGGATCTGTTGACAGAATGGGGCTCGTCTTACCGGCTCGATTGCTCTGGTCGATCATCGGCTGGACGATTCTACGCCTCGCGTTGATGAACCTGGAACAAAGGAAATGGCCATAATTAATAAAGCATGGGACACCTTACAAATAGAAGTTTCAATTCATCGCGAAGTCGGACGCGGGGAAGCGAAGACTTCCTTCTTATTTCAAAAGGAAACGATCGGGTGCTTCCTTGATGCACAAGCTAGACATTTATGATCAATTGGAATCGTCGTAAATTCTTCATGAAAGGATTGCATATTTCATTCGAGGTATTAAAGCGTCGGAAAGGTTGTGAGCGATTCTGAAATTTTAGAAGCTTATCCATAAGATATCGAGCTATTTCCAGTAACTTAGTTCGATCGTTTCTTTGAAATGGTCAATTAAAAGCTCCTTATCATTGCGCGTGTCGGGTACTTTTACATATTTTCTAGAGAAAAAGAAAATGAGAGAAAAGTACAAATGGTCGCGATCTCTTATTCAGTGAATAGTTCGGTAAATATCTTTTGGGAGAATCGTTAGAACTCGGGAAACAACTTGTTCCAGAGGAAGAAGTCGGAACAGCGAAGGGTCGGCGTCAGCAGATAATCTAAATGGAGGCTCAGTCATTTAGTTCCGCGAACTATGTAAATCTCTGTCCAGCGTTGGTAGCGAGGAATCTATTCGGGTAATCAGAGATAACGATTCGAGTCAGGTAGGCCAGACGTATTCATGACTCATTATGTAGATCAGTGGATCACGGGTAGCAGGCATTAGGCGATCGCCGCGATAAGGTCGAAAGCTCGGTCAGAACGCGCGTACGTACGTCGATGTATCGTTCATCTCAATTTGGCCGGCCGGGGCGGCACCGTCGATATTTCATCGGTGTAAGGTCGGTAATTGTCGGACGTAATTTCCGGCCGAATCGTGTATGTTAATTTGACGAAGTGGCCGAGCGAAATGCACGGGAGAAAGAGGGCTACAGGTGCGCGGGACTGCGGCCAATCAGAACTCGTCCTATCGATCCTGCTTGCGTCCACGTCAAAGTCGCGTTGCTCTTCATCCAGCGATCGCGTTAAATATTGCCAATGTCAAATGACTCCTCGAAGAAATTTTAAAGAGTTCGTTAAACCACAAGAACTCTGGTGAGGAATAAGTGAAAAAGGATGCAGAGTGCTTTCGCTGGTTTATTAAAGTAGAATTTTCTTGTCACGCTCAAATAATTTATTTAATTTCGTATCAGAAACATAACGGTTCGAAGCTTTCTACAGCAGTTTCAAGAAACTATTTAATTCTTTTATTAATTTTTATCAGTCCAATATTCTGATATCCTTAATAAATGCGTAAAATCTGCGGGTAGTCGGGGCAACTAACATGTTCAAACAATTACATCAACATAGATTACGGAATTATTAATTTAAACTCGCAGGGTGTATACTATAATTATACACGCAAATCATTCGTGTCAAGCTATCGATGTTCTCTGACAATAGCATCGAATCGAGTGATACGAGGTTGGGATTGGATCGTGTCCGACCAGTCGCAAGTCTATACTACTGAAACAGTTTCCTGGAATCTCTCATTGCGTACCAAATTTATATATTACAAAATATACACCTGCTGCTAGTTCCATCGTATTCGAATATGCTGTACGAAACTGATCAGCTACCTTCGGTAAACAATTCTATTAACTATAGAACTACCGGGCGGATTGTAACCGAAGTGACTGGTTTCTGATTTGTTTTCTTTCGAAATGATAAAGATGTTTCCACGAGAAATTTTTCAACGAACTTCTCCGTCGAATCGTATTAGCATGAATTTTAGGACTCGTACCACGGTTCCAGTATTAAATAGATTTATACAAAATTTATCAAAGAAAATTCTCTTTGTACACAAGCTTAAAAAAGAAAGCTATTACATTGCGTTAGACGTAACTGTATTCATGTCTTATCTCATGTAGTACGCATCGACGAAGTATGAACCGATCCGTGAATATTATAGCGTGCTCATAGTCTTTCTACTCGGGTGATTGTTTTTTGTATGCTGAGAAGACCGGGGCGCGTAAAACAAGTATAACCGTTGCACCGGTTAAGACAGAACAATGAATTTTAACAAGTGTTCAACAATTAACCGAGAATGGTTCGATCAGATGACGCGATCGATGCTTAATCAGCGTAATAAAATCGTTCGACCGAGAAGCGTGAACAGGAAATTTTTGGAAAAGCAGTCGAAGGGTGGCAGCCTGGAGCAAGAGCCGGAAACCCGAGCACGACCTATTATCTCGCTAACAACGAGGAAAAAGGGGGCGGCGTGTTGTCGGTCGTAGGAGCGAAACGCGGCAAGAAGCGAGCGAGCGAGCGAGCGAGCGAGCCGGCATCCTCGATACGTCATTAGCCACGGTGAAGGAGCTTCCGTGCGAGCGCTTTCCAAACAATAGATCTGCGGTCTATTTCGAGGTTGGGAGAGGTCCAACGCGGGGGCGGACGGTGACTCGAGGGGAGGGCTCGGCGGCGTAGAACCGAACGGGGGCGAAACGAAGACAGGCGAAAGGGCGTACGTCAGCCGACGTCAGCGTCGCGGCGCCCTAATGGGCGCAGACACCGGAAGTGATTGGGTTTCTGCTCGACTGACTCGAGAGCACACCCCCTTCTCATCGCGGAGAACCACGATGTTCCAGAGGGACGGGGAGGGCCAGCCGAGAGCGGGAGAGAGAAAGAGAGAGGGAGGAAACGGAGGCAGATGCAACCCCTCTCTTGTTTCGCGGGCGCATCTTTCTTGCTCGGGCTCGCTCCTGGACGACTACCAGTCGCTCCACTCGGCCTTATGAATAATAATTATCAAAGTCTCGCCGCAGCCGGTCGCGTTCCACCGCTCGGACGCAAACGAAGCCCGGCCGGAAGCCGAGCGACTCTGACGGGGACTTCGCGTTCGATTAACGCGCCTGGGCACGGTTCAACGGCTGTATCGATATCGATGGTAATGCGCAGGGTCGATTGGGGTGGAACATCCGAAGACGACAGGGGGACACCGGTCTCGAGAAGATATTGTGGCAGGATTATTGTGAACGCGGCAGCAAACGTGGCGGAACAAGAGGTCGTGATCTAAATAACAACTGCTTGTCTGGCTGCCTTCTTTTCTGCAAATCATGGAGTATTTAATAACATCCAAAGATTCACGCTGTGATTTTAGTTCGGTTGCAAGAGAATGCGTTCTCTGAGAGCTCGGGCATTCGCGACTCGCATGATTTATTTCACGGATAAAAACCCTTTGTATGCAACATAGAATAACATAGACATCGCAATTAGAAAACTGTAAAGACATTCCAAGAACTTAAGGATATTGTTCCACTATTTTCGTCTTCTTTTTAGAAAGAACTTGGACAGTTCGCGAACTACCACCGGACCGGAGCATATATGATAATTCTTATTTAAACGCACGGTTGTTCGTCACGGGAATTACAGAATGTAGCGAATACGAGTGTAATCCAACTGGCGTTTATCTACAGAGCCTTGCGGTAGAAAATTATTAACGACAAAGGAGAAATCATGGAGCAAGAGATTCGCTTCTTCCGTACCGAATCGCCTCTACGTTAGGAAGTCGGGGCTGTTCAAACGTACGACAACGATTATAAGGAAGCGTCGGTCAGAAACGCGCGACTCCGTAGACAGGATTTTTCTCCGCGAGATGAGCTTTACGCGCCGTCGAACGTAAACACCATCGAATTGCAAATTTGCCGGGCCGTTACAACCCCGAAGCTCAACGAACATCGAGAACGTACCGCCGACGGAACGTATAGAGAGCAAGCCGTCATCCAGAAACGAGTCGAACGAGTACATAAACGGCAGGAGGATCGCAACAACCGGCTCCCTTCAAAGTCAAGGCCTCGGCTATCGTTGGATGAAAGAGTATCCCTGCTTGTATAAACCGAGGGCCCCTTCCCAGCCCCCGGATACTCCTAAACGCCTCTGGTTCCCCTTTGGCGGCGTAGGCAGCGTGTCACAGCCAGCTGACTACCGTCGACCCACCCCCGCGCTACCCTCGCTGGCAACCACCCCGTGGCTGAAATATCGCCCGAACAATGGCGCGCAGCCCCTGGCCAAAGGAGAACGGGACGAGCAAACAGAGAGAGAGAGAGAGAGAGAGAGAGAGAGAGAGAGGCAGTGGCAACTGCCCAATCTTTCCTCTCTTTCTGCTCGGGACCCAGCGAATATCTTCGCCACCGGAAAACTTAACCCCGCCGCGCAGAAAACGGACAGGATAAAATTTTACAGTCGAGGTGGCGGCTGGCAAACGACCTTGTCGACCCTCCACTAAAATGGACCACCCTCCCCGAGGATGTTGCGCGAGGTCTGCGTTAATTTTTCAGCGAATGACATAACGCGTCGTCGAGCACTCCCACCTAGCCGTACGATGTAGTTTTTAACCAATGACCACATGACTGAGAAATAGAGATCTCATCGATAGACTGCGGATCTATATGCAAAATAAGAATTGTCTGCATCGATTGCAGGACATAGGATCCAAAAATACCAGTTTCTTTCTTTCGTTAATAAATTTAATAAGTTCGAGTCAGTGCATCGACACTCTTAATTCCTTTTGATCGCCGCACTGTTTTAAATTGTCCTATTTTTACCATAAATGCATAAAGATCCGCAGTCTACTCATCCCGTAAAAAAATGACAGTGTAAGACTATCTAAGAATATCCAGGACTGTTACGAATCTTTTCGTCATTCTCCTATTTTTTCATACATCCTTACATCTATTCTTATTTTCGCTGTTGCTGTTATCTTTGTTCCGTATTTTATTTTTTATCGTATTTATATTAATGTCTTTTTCTTACTTCTTCTCTTTCGTAATTCTAAATAACTCGTGCGATCGGTTTTATGCCGTCTCTGTTACAGATGGTCGTCTCGTATATGTATGGAAATAAATTATAGAAACTTTGAATTATAATACCCTAGCCTTAACGCACGGTGTGAAGTTCATTCTTCGAGAGCAATATTTAGAAGCGACGTTAAGTACACCCGACTAATACAAACGAACGAGCCATGTTTTTCCTGGAAATTAAGTTTTTCCTA